TGTGTATGTATGTGAACATAAAAGAGGCCGTCTTCTGATGTCGTTGGTAGGGAGAAGAGACAGAGGAGACTTGGGGTTGGGGTTGACTTGCTTGACCAGCTCCTACCATTTTCCTTCATTCTTTCGTCTTTTTTTTTGTTCTCATCTTTATTTTCTCTTAACATTTAGTATATTGTATCTTGTTCTCTTGGCTTCTGTTCATCTGTTGTCTTCCTACACCCGACTCTACGAACGAGAGAATAAGAGAGATAATGGGTCTCATGAAGGTCGAAGCCATATACAGTCTCTCTCTCTCTATCTTCTAAAAGAGTTTAAGAAATAATAAGATTATTAAAGAGAATCTATAGATAAAGATAGATCAAAATAGTTGTTGTAGGTGTTTAGAAGGTAAAAGACAAGATCGAAGAGAGATTCATCAATAGCCACCTTTACCTTTCCATACATACCAGCCATCTTCATTCATCGCTCCCTAACTCACTACTTTACTTTTCTGTTTTTATCTTCTTCCGTATAAATATCACAATGTGCGTTCCAATAACGTTTTTCTTTTTATTCAAAAACCTTTTTTTTTATCTTACATGCCCTTTTTTTCGATTAAAAATAGATTGAAACGTGCCCGTTTACTTATCATTCTCCTTCTTCGTCTTAACCACTCTCATTCTCTAACTCTAACTCTCCCTCTCTCTCTCTCTATGCCTTACTTGGAAAAAATAAATATGGAATTTGGCAATAAGTTCGAGAATTAGAATAAGAGAGAGAACGAGATACAACAGAATGATTTCCCTCTTGAAATAAAAAAACGCGGCTGGAAACCGTGAAAACCAGTTTGTTCAAGAAAATTTTCACCTCTGACGTCCTCATCGTTCGTCGTCCACTCTTCAGGTTGCTAGCTAATGTAACACATGCTGGATGTGAGAGAGCGATTGAAAGAAACAAGATATAAACTGATGAGCACATTTATGATTTTCAATTGTTTTCAAACCTGAAGATATAACATTTATAAGTTAGGAAGAAAGTATCTTGTATGCTCTAATTGTGCTCCGTACACTGATTTCCTGTAGTTTGATCTCACGTGAAAATCACGTGTACTGTTCCACGTGAAAGTCACGTGCATTATTCCACGGGAGCCATTCGAATTTTACTTTTCATTATGTACACGTGGATAACGGTTGCTTATTGGTTTTCATTTTCTGTGATTCGCACATCGTTCACCATCACCTTGACTGTCAGTTAGCACTTGTAGATCATTGCCATATCGATTGAAGTGTTTGTTCATCATTTCATTTATCTCAATAGGAACGTTTCAATTTATCCTTTTTGAACTTTTGATCTGAAAAGATCAGACAGTTTCTCTTTCTCTCTCTCTCTCTCTCTGTTTATCTCTCGTTATATCTCTATCTCTCTCTATATTTCTCTCAATCGTTGTATATGACGAGTATGGGTTGGAACAGTCTTGTCCATTTCATCATGCAACTTGATGTTCTTTTGTAATCAGTTCGTCTTCTTCTTGATAAACCAAAAAACGTCTGCGACTTTTCAATTGTTTTTTCTTTCTCATTGATTACTTTTTTTTCTTCTTTTTTCACCCATTTTCTAGTCAATTTGAAGCTGACGTATGAATTCCAATATCTTTCTCTCTTCTGACATTGCCTTTCAAGCTTTTGCATGAAAAAAAAGTTAATTTTTGATCAAAAAAAAAATTTTTTTTTCAAATATCTGATGTGCAACGTCTCCATCTCATACTCCCTCGCATAGAGTTCTCTCTCTCTCTCTCTCTATTTCTCCTTCAATACCCTCCCTCTCTAAGAAATAATTGAACGATAATGAAACAAAAATGTTTCAAAGTTGATTGTGAGCTAAAAAAATATTTTTTAATTAAATTTTTGTGGAAAAGAGAGACATAACGGTTCCAGTCAATCAAGTGTCTATTAATTGGTACGTCTTTATGGTCTTCGAACGTCCTGAATCTTTCACCTGCCTTACTTGCCTCTCTTTCTCACTCTTTCTCTTTCTTGCAATAATTGGAAGAGAAATATAGAGTAACAGCGAGAGTGAATGACTCTCCTGACTCTGTTGCTCCTTCTATCCTCTTACCACCCAAGAAAAACTTCCGCAATCATCCGGTTGCAAAATTTTTATCAACATCTGGGTCTTTGGCACTGTTAATGCACTTAGGCCTACTTTCCCAATATTTCATTCACCTATTTGTGTTCCATGGACTGGAGCCTGACTGATCAACTGACTGATGGGAACAGCTTCAGCTCGTATGGTTTATTGGATGCTAAACGAGTAGCAAAGAAAACAGAAGGATAACAGAAGAAGCTGAAAAAAAAAGAAGGAAAATGAAAAAAGCTTACGAAGTTCTACTCAGTCGTGTGCTTTTGCTTTTGAGTGTTTCTTGTGTCGTCTGGTTTGCTTTTCACTATCTCTGATGATCTCTATGAAAGTTTGTTCATCTTTTCTCTTGACTTCTTCTTCCATTAAAGGATGTCACGGTAAATGTTTCTCTATCTCTCTCCCTTCTTCTCCTCTCTTCTCTTTCACTCTCGTAACATCATGTTTAGTCGCTCTCCCTCTCATTGGTTATGAACTCTTTTAGCGTTTTTTCGGAAAATCTTTACTTCTCTCTCATATTCTCTCTTCACCTTCTTCATCGTTTCTTCGCCAATATTCATTTTCATTTCTAATTTGAGAGCTCTTTTCTCTTCAACAACAACGACAACAACATCGCCGAAGATGTTGAAGACACAGTTCATTTGATGTAGACAAGGCTTAGAAGAAACATTCAATACAAGGAGATGCTTCTCTAATGTGATCGCAAACAGTCCATCTAACAGACTATAAGCTTCTAATCAAATATGTGTATTGAAACCTCGTTTGACTTGTCAGAGACGTAACCTCCTTCGTCTCCTCAAAACAGAAAGCCTTCTGTTGTTAACTTCTTTTTTAAATTTGGATTCTATCACACATTTTATTCATGATCATACTACTACTAGTATATCCTTTGCATCGTACAATTTTCTTGTATTCTCGCAAATGTTCAGTCTATCCAAGGCTATTGGGGCGGTCCTTACTCGGATACGGACCGTCTGGTAGGCCTCATGGCTTGTGGCCAGTGATTGACCGCGTCAGTACGCCAAGCTGGTACTGACCTATAAGGAATTCTTGCTAACCTGTGAAAAGCTACAATATTTATTTTTATTTTTATAATCATTGATTGTCGTGTTTTTTTATATCTTTGATGATCAGTTAAGTGCATGTGTACTTCCTTACTTCCTTCTGCATTTTTTTCAGCTTTCTTCTCGTTTATAACATGCTCCCCTTGATGTTTCTATAACTTACTTACACTCTATCTCTACCCTTCATTCTCTCTCTCTCTCTCACATGCAAATGACGATAGAAGATCAGAAAATGAAAAAACAACAGAGATTTCTATTATCTTCGGTTCATCATCGAGTTCTTTGTCGTTCAACCAAAGCGTTTTAAATCGACGACAGATTTCGAGGATTATAAGATTTTCATCGAATTTGTACGGAAACTCCTTCATTTTTTTCTCCAACACAGCCATATTAATAATAATTTTGTTTTTTCATTTCGTTTGTTAAGATGGTCTTCATGTGTTGCCATTCTCTTCCCTAATATAGTCATTTGGCAGGTCGAACACAACGATGAGCTCACCCAGGTGTTAGAGCTGACCTATTGTCTTTGAAAGTGAGGGTCAAATGACATCACTTACCTCTCTCCCTATTTCTATTTTATTTTATTTTTTAATATCGTTTAAGGTAAATGTTGACGTTTACGTCTGTACTTTCTCTCTCTTCATCTGTATTTATAACGAAGAGATGAGAGAGAGAGAGAGGAAGAGAGAGTGATGAGAAAGATAGAGAGAGAATTGAAAAACTGTTAGTTTAACTCGTTGTGCTCTTGATTTCTTTGCAGAACCACTTGGTGCACACAGTCAACTTTCAACACTTTTTTTTCGACAAAAGAAAGATTCAATATATTCATCTACTGTTTTTTCCAATTCTCTACTGAACTTCCATTGTTTCTTACAACTTGGTTTTACGTTGAAACGTACACGAGCTTGCGTTGTCTATCCTCACTCACTACACATACGACAGACACACACACACACACGCACCCATACGCAGTCTGTCATCCGTTTTTGAACTTTTTGGGCTTTTTTATCTTCTTCTTTGTTGCTCCTTTTAAATCTATTTGCTTATTTATTCTTAATTTGATGTTTCGCTTTCAAAATATTATCATTTTGACTGATTTGCTTGTTGCTGGCCATAGAGGAATACTAGAAGCGTGTGCATGTATCTATGTGTGAGATGTTTGTTATTCATTTTTTCTGTAAATTTTCCAAGGTTCATGCTATCTCATCAATTTTATTTTTTCGATTGATGGCCTCAGGCCATCTTATCAAAGAAACTGTGTGCTATAAGTATCTTCTAAAATCATAATATTTCACCCTTTATGGAAATGTCTATAATGACGATATGTCTCTGTCTTTTCACAACGTCTATCATTCTCTCTCTCTCTCTGTCTCTCACTCTCACACACACTTAGAAGAGACATCCGATCTTTGAAGTGACGAAATATAAACTTTTATATCAAAATTCCATCAGATGGTAATTTCAGATTACATGAGGATTCTACTTTTTTTCGTTTGAGCTTTCCCTCCATAATCCAACTTTTGCTTTCTTTTTCTTTCCATCTTTGTCAGTCTGTGCTATCTCTAGCATAGCATGGGATCATCTTATCTCTCATATTATACTTTAATAACTTTGAAAATAAGAAAAACATTTTATTTTGGAATATTTAAGCTTCCAACCGGCCCTCCCATTTCTCGATCACCCAACTTACGTTGTGAACTGTTTTTGCAATCAGTCTCTTCCGGTTCAAAACTTGTTCACAATTATATTTTCATTTCTTATATAACATTCTTCTCTATTTGGAATATATATATATTTATACATTCATTCATACTTACAGAAATGAAAGAGGAAGACGGAATGTCAGCCCTAACTCAAGCAGTCCCTCTTGCTACCTCCAATCTAGATGCCATGGCCAATGCGAGGTCTGTTACCATCATACTTTATACTTCTTTCTAATTTTACATTTTTGAATTTGCGATGAATCTCCCAAAAAAACGATGAAAGCTTTTCAAATGATTCATTTCTTGGCTTCGAACAAGTTTCCTTTTTTCCTTTTTTGTTTGTCATTTCTAATGATTCATCTGTGTGGCCCCTCTCTCTCTCTCTCTCTCTCTCTCTCTCTCTCTTCAATCAGCAATTACCAAATTCTCATTATTGAAACTTTCTTTTTTTCTTCATTCTCACCTCAATATTGACGTTTTACTTACATTTATCTATGTTTCCAATACTCTTTCTTAAGATGTTCTTCATTTCAGTCTTACCCATATACCCACCAAAGACGTGTGGAGCCCTAATAGTTCAACGTCCCATACAAGTAGTTTACCTAACGGAGGCGGACAGATGATCACGGTAAGATGGGCTTTCTATACATCGCTTGCTTTCAAATTCAAAACTTGAATTGAATTATAAAATGGTTTTGTGTTGAATCATATTTCTGTTCTTCTTGTTCAAACCAAATTGAGCAGAAGCAGGTGGCACAAGTAAGTTGATCGTCGCGACGATCCAGATTCGTTTCAACGACCAATTATGTTGACCTCGTCAAGTGCTTTTTTGAAGAAATGGCAAGCGAACATGGCATTACTTCTTTAAATGCTCAAGCAAACATAATCCCAGCAAAACCATATTTTGGCTTTCTTATTATGGTAATTTCGTTTCAGCTTTCACCTCCAGCAGGAGATCCGGCCGGCAGTCAGCAAGAGCCTGGACAAGGATCATCCACAGCGGCTGGCTCCGATTTGACGGGTGATGCTGAAGGAGTATGGAGTTTGGACATTGACCAAGCTTTCCAAGAAGCTCTTGCCATATATCCTCCATGTGGTCGAAGGAAAATCATAATAAGTGATGAAGGGAAGATGTATGGTGAGTACTGAATTCCATAGAAGAGAGGGTCGTGAACGCTTGACAAAACCTTCCATAGAACTGACATACTAGTTGCTTGTGAGTAGAAAAAAAGAGAGAAAGATGATGATTATAGACACGGTTCATTCAAATATAATTCTCATGTAGAGAATGGAAGATGAATCCATTTTTGGATTCTCTGAATTCTCTCAATTAACTACAGTCATTTGATGTTTCTAAAGCCATGCTCATCTGCATACGTCTCTATTAAGAGATGTAGTGGCAGCTATTCTTTTGTAAAAGGTCAACATACGAAGAGGAGCAGATGCATCATGTGCCAAGGCTATATGTGGATGAGTAGCCAATACCATCTGCTCTTCATGGCTTTCACTCTCTCCTTCTGCACCTCTCTCTCTCTCTCTGTTAGAGGTGGTAAAAATCTACGAGAGAATAGCTATTAGCATTAACAATAAGAAGAGAGAACTAGTAGCATGCCACTGCTGTCCTCAGCACATGCTTTTCACCATTATTTCATATAATGGGAGAGAATGTACGAAATCAAGAGAATTCTTCCATTCCAATAAGCCGGCATTGAATATAAGGAAGCTGTATTGATTGATAGTTCCTAGCAGCCAAAGATCGACAGGTTCATTCTACAGATGTTTGGAAATCCTTACAAATGTTGGGTGCATAGGGGGGGTTAAGGGAGGGGTTGCACAGGCTGATTGGTTAGTAGGAAGCGGATTTTCGCTATCTTTCCCTTGCTTCTAATCTTTTTTAAAGATTAGGGTTCATGATAAGCAGAAAAAAAGATAAAATGATGTGAAAATCCGATTACTTCTTGCTCTTTCTCTGTGCTCTCCAGCATGTCCATGATCTCTACAACTTATGCTACCAAGTTGAATTTTGTTTTAACTTTCTCCAAACATACCAAGTTTTGTAAATCATGTAATCCTTTAAGAAGTTCATATAAGGCTTTGACAAATCTGTCGTTCGGTCAAGTTGAAAGACATGCCGACATGCCTTTTAAGTCAAAGTCTTGGAGCTGAAAGGCTTACAAGCAGCTTTTGTACACAAAAATTGTTTGTAAGCAAAGTGCTTGTATATACAGGAGCAAAGGATATTTCTATAAATCCTGCTACAAGTGGGATTAACTTATTTACTCTCAAAATATAATATGCAATTCTGATATTCCGCCACCCCATGCCAAAGAGAAATGTATTTGAATGATCACAGCAGGGGGAAGACGAGACACTCAAATCGCGTTCTTAAGATTGTTTTCAAAGATTTTTCGAAAGTTATTTGCTAATTTGGTTTGAATACCATGCTTGATGATATCATTCTATATCTAACCACACAGAGATTTCTGATCATCACATAGAGATTTCAATTGATCATCCTTCGCTTTCTTAACTTTCAAAGTCTCTTTCCCAATCTCAGTTATGACTTCCTAATACGCAAAGAAGTATTTCTGATCTAACAACATCCATATCATCCTCCTGCTCTCTCTTTCTCTCTTATCATTTTCAAATAATTAAGCACAGCTGACACTTAAAGTGTTAAGCAGTTTTTATTATAAAAATATATTGTTTGTATAAGACTGATTGACATAGTTATTAAGCAAATGATCACATTTCCATTCTCTACATTCTCTCACCTCAAGTACTCCTCCTCTATGTTTACATCAATTAGTACTGCTCATCTATTCCATTAATATACAACCGTTCATACATCCATATCAAGCAACCGTCCTATGTCAAACAATTCATTCAAATGAACATGTTTCTATCATTCCACGTGAAGTTACGTGGGATTACGTGACTTCACGTAACCACGTGGAGTCACAGAATTTTGAAATGAATTTTACGTGACATCACGTGACTTCACGTAATATATAATGGAAATGAATGAGAATGGATAAACGACTTCCATTTTTGTTAATTTTGATTGATTGTCGACCAAATATGGTTGGTCTTGATTGAATTTGGAGCTATGAAAAACAATAAAAGGTCAACATGTGCTTGAGCTCATGATCATTATAGAATCTACAAGTAAGCCTGAATAGAGAATGAATAATTAAATAATTAACTATATGTATAAATAGCATTGATGAATGGTTAAATCTTAAAAGATTTGAAAAGGATAGAGTAGCATGGAGAGATGGGCAGAGAAAGAGAGGAAATGAAGAGAATGAGAGAAGCAGAGGAACAGGATGATTATGGTGGAAAAAGAAATTGTGAGCCGGGATTAGGAATGGAAAAGTGACAGTCATTGACCAGATGTTTATTGGAGCTGGGACATTCTTTCTTATATTACAAATTAATTATTTCCTATTCGAAAAACTTTATTTTGAAAAATAAGATATTAAAGGGAAAGGGAGAAGAGGGGGGGAGGAATGATATCATACTAAGCCTTATTAGGTACGTTTTAGAAATCACTAATATGAATTGAAAATACATGATGATCAAAAATCTTTGTCAAGCTTCTCTTTCTTTCTCTCTCTTCCTCTCTTTGAATGAAAAGTATATGAAGACAAGATATTCTCATTTCAGGTAGAAACGAACTGATTGCGCGATACATCAAGTTACGATGTGGTAAGACGCGAACTCGGAAGCAAGTCAGCTCACACATACAAGTCTTAGCCCGAAAGAAACAACGAGATGAACAAGCAAAGAAGAAGGTTTCTTCAGAATCTTCAGTAATCTTATTAAGTTCTTATGATATCTAGGGTAGCGATAGTTCTCCTTCAATGCTTAACAACTCAAGTCCCATCTCAACGGCTGCTTCAACACCAATGCCACCAGTAGTTTCCTCTATGGCTTCAGCTGTTACTCCTTCTATTAAGCAAGAACCAAATTCCATTTCTAATAATCTTCAACAACAACCTCCAAATGTTACTCCATTCACACAGGTTTTCAATGTGTTCATGTAACGTTGACTCATATGATGATTGCAGATTCCATTGCCATCCAATCCATCTCTCAATATCGCCGATCCCGAACAATTACAGTTCTTAAGTAAAACAGCATTATTGCCTGCTGCTCTCTATTCCCATGTTTGGGCTTTTCCAACATTCCAAAACCCATCTGCAGGATTTTCACCTCCCGATATGAAGCCAGTGATGTATGTTCTTAACGATTAATTATTCAAAGAAGAAGTATTATCAAACAAACACAAAGCTACCTTTTCCGGTTTCCTTGACTTCTTATCAATCTCAACCTCTCTCTTCTAATTATTCTTATCGATAACTTTGCCAGTTCGATCACGAGATGTTGTTAAACATATAAAAATTGAATGCATTAACCTCTCCTTACAAAGGGATCTTTCTTTTCTAAAATGGGGGAAAGGATGTAGATTTGAATTAAAATTATATTTTTCTTATAGAAATGCCCAGTTCTCCTCATCCTTCAATATGATGCCAGCGTCAATCAACTGTGAAAACAAGAAGAATGATACAGCTATTGCTTCATCAAAGTTAATGCTTAACGAATTCACAGCGTAAGATATTTGTAAAGATCATCTGAAGATCAGAATGGCCTTTTCAGTTATGTGGAACGGCCTACAGGCCAACGAGTAGATATCGTCAGCATTCCTCGACATGATGGAGAACTTGTGGTTAGCCTGATTGCAAATTCTTTTTTTAATAATCCTTATTGAAATCTCAGAAATTATCGATGTCGTCGATAGCTGATAAATATCCTCCGCTCCTCCGAGAATTATATGAGAAGGGTCCGAAAGATGCATTCTTCTTGGCCAAGTGTTGGGCCAATGTGCAGTTCACCATTGGGGATAAGTGAGTTTCCATTGTTACCTGAATCTCGTTCACATCATCCTTCTGCAGATATTCATTCGCTGTTGATTCCAACTACAAATCATTGAATCGTTTTGATATTTCTGTTTCAACCAAAGTTTGTTCGTTCGGAAGTGAGGTTGTGGAGAAAGTTGAAGTAAGAATTGGTTTTGTTACAAAAGTACTCTTAACCGCTCATCTCTTCAGATTTATTCAGCGGAGGAGGAGAATGATCACTATGCCTTCCGTCTGGAAAACAGCCCTATGTGTGAATTCATGGTCAAGTTCATAAAAGAACTCAAGAAATGTGAAAATGAAGAAGAAATGAATAAAGTTTTAGACAATTTCACAGTACTACAGGTAAGGGATCAATCAAACCATACGAGTTCTACTCCACTCTAGTCCATATCCTCTACCCATGCTATTGTCATTTCATATTTCGCTTTTCAAAATTTTGAATTTAATTTTGGCCATCTCAAATGTGCTCATTAGAGATTCCGAGAAATTAAGTCGCAGATTTTGGTAATCAGAGATTCAGACTCAATCTTTTCACCATATTCAGTGTTGTTTGGCCGGACTTAGTCTCTTCACTTAAGTTATTGGCAAAACCTAATATCCGCGTGAGAAGTTTAATCATCAGCAGACCAGCGCGCTATCCCAAACCGTAATGGTCATTGCTTTGAACCCCGGGGTGTCATGCACTTTGTGTTTTCCCATAGTTGGCCAGAAAATGATTGGAGTGGAGTAGTTATTCGTCAACAATTAGTATTTGATGTTTCATCATTCGCATTTGCAGGTTGTAACTGACAAGGATACAGAAGACACCTTGATGGTTCTCTGTTTTGTTTTCGCTGTTAATGCCGGTCCAGAATCACAGTGTTCATTGTTCAGGCTGACATCATAAGAAACCTCTTCCAAATGTCTCTTTAATTATCATTTTGATAGTCTACCCTCCTATTCCATCAATCTCAGAACTGCTAGAGAGATCTTTTAGGCTTATTTATCATTTTCAGCAAGATTTAGCTCAAACAACATAACCAAACAAAAAAAAATATTTTCTTTTCGCTGCAGGATATTCACATTCCATAGTTTCTTTCCAGAATGAAGGCAAAAACATTTTAAAAAAGGAAATTACATTTTGGCAAACAAAAATCAAAATCATCATCATCATCACTCAAACCCTCCACCAAGTCATCTGAAATCTAATCATTCAAACATTATTCTTAAATGGTGCATTCATTACATTACAGTACAAACTACATATTTTTATTATTATTAATTATATATTATATAATTATATTCACATAGTTTATTCTGTCTCTTCTCTCTCCCTCTCTCTCTCCTCTCCTTCTCTCTTCATCTACCTATCCCCCTCTCTCGACATTCATCTTTCCATCTTCACTCTACCCATTCATATGGGCTTAGTACTTCTTCCTCATTTCTAGCTACTGGACTGTCATTCAAGCTTAGAAGACAGCTTTTGAATCTCCAAGCGCATGTGTGTTAACAAATGTTCTTCGTTCTTGTTTATCTTTTCAACTTTCCGCGACCCATCCACTTCCCCCCCTCTCTCTCTTACTTCACCTCCCTTCATCAATTTATAATTGTTTCAACATTTTAATTGTATTTCAATGAACCAATACTTTGTTTCACACATGTGCTAAGTTTACGAGTTTTTTGTGTTTTACCCTTCCTCTCTCTCTCTCTCTCTCTATCCCTCTCTTCCCCTCTCTCTCCTCTCTCTCTCTCTCTTAAGAATGTTCTTCTTCTTTGTTCTATGTTTTCTTAAAAGTTATTATTATGTGTACAAACAGAAGCCTCGCTGATTGCCAGCATTTAATCTTGTTCTTATATTTTTACTTTGTGTGTTTCAAATGAAATATGTATCTGATCTTTGTCTTCAAGTGATCAAAGCTAACGATATCATGTACGGAGTTGATGGAATTGTAAACTCTGAAAAAACATCAATGCAACCATAATGCGCCTGTCCCTGCTTAAAAAATGAAGAAGAAAAATAAAGTTCACGTGAAAAGTCATACTTCACGCTTACGTGGAATTTACGTGAAAGTGCAAAGTGTTATAGACTATTGATTGATTGAGATTGGAAAGTAACTCATGAAGAGTGAATTGCTAGTTGCCTTTCATTATTTGCCAAAGTCAACTATTGTAAGTATTGAGAGGGAGGGAGAAGGAGAAAGAGAGAGAGAGAAAGGAGGAGCTAACTTGTGAAGTGGCGGATTTCTTCTTGTTCAGCTTTTGCTAAAGATTAATCAGATAGCATCTGGTTGATTTTTCATTGTTACATTTTTCTGCTTTCAATGTTTTTGTTGCAAAAAATATGAGAAGAAGCCATTCCTTATGGTGAATGAGAGTGATGTCACGAGAAATACGCAACTGGTATGAGATTGATAGCCATGATAATCTCATAGTCTGGCAAGGCGTTTGTGCTGTATTTCATCGTCAGTCTCTCGTTTGTGAGCTTTTCAAGTTGCATTCAAGCAATGTTTATTCAATTAGACTTGCTGACGTTCCTTTCAAATGTGTAAGTTGTTGCATTGAGAACTGACCGTCCTTATACTAATTCATTTCAGATATCATCAACTGCTTTCTGGGAGTGTGTAGAGATCACTGGAGAGTTTTCAAATGATCAAAGCTTTCTCTATCACGCTCCGAATGCAGAAGAAGCTGAACATCTTCTGAAAGTGAGACTCATCTTTGATCTAATGAATATGCATCATGTCATTATAGAAGTTAGAAGAACTAACAAGAAGTAAGATAACAAGAATGACAATACGATTGGATGACGATCCATTACGTCTTCGTAACTCTGTGTGGATAAGCGAAAGATTACAAAAATGGAAGAATGTTTTGACGATATTCGATTCATCTCATATAGTTATCGACCACAACATGCCATTATAATCATTCCAATGTGTTTCACTGATGTTTTCAATGAAAATTAAAAATTCAAACATTAGAAGCTTGATGAAGATAGTCTCATAGAGTTTAAACGTTGATAAATGATGAGATTGAGTTGGATCATCAATCTCATCTCTCATTCTCCTTTAATTCAAAGCTCACAAAATATTATTTTGAGCTGAATAATTGAATGCAACAGAGCATTCTATTGATTTTCCAAACAAAAAAAAAGTTTTTTTTGTTTTCAAAATGCTCATTTAGCCTTTGATAATGTTGTTCTTTCGACTTATAACAAGCCGTATGCAAATAATATACGAATCATAACCATTTCAGCTGTGAGAATGCTTGTTGTTTCTCCTGTTTCTTCCCTTTTACACTCATTCTAGTGCATATGACGATGGGGATGATGATGATGATAGTGTAGACAACGAGAATGACCACGACAACGACGACGTCGACGACGAAACAAAAAAAAGAAGTGGTCGTCATGAATGTCACACACTCACTCACTCACACACACACATACACACACATGTAGACAGACACATACATACATAGTCATATGAAAAGACGTGTATGCGCATATATGGACTTATATATACATATCAGAGCTTCAAGCAAAAAATCCTTTGAACGTTTCGCTTTCTTCTCCTTTTTTGGAAACGAAAGAGAGATTCTGATTGTGAAGAGCTATAGTTTAAACACATGTTTCTTTTTTGTCTCTGTCGATTCTTGACTTCTTTTGAAGCTTTTTCAAGCTTCATCCAAATTTGGGAAGAGAGAGAATGACCATCCAACTGTCAGTCCAGTTTGAACCTTTTGAGATCCGTTCGCGTGTACTTAAACTATCTTTTTATGCTTTTCTTGCAAAAAACTTTGCAAAAATACGCTTTGAACCTTCGAAATCGGAGACGAAAGGAATTTCTCAGAAAACTGTAAAACTCCCGGAGGGCATGAAAAAGCCTACGCAACACACTCCTTTTATGCTCGGACGATTTTTTTCATTTTGTGCAATCAAACTCAACTTTCTGGAATTACCGTCCCTAACTCATGTTTCAACCAAGCATATCAACTCATATACATCTCCAGTTAGTTCTTTGAGAAAGATTTTTTTTTTCAAAATATTTTATATTTTTACCCAAAAAGTGGAACTTAAGCACAAAGTGGTCAATTGTCAAGAATACCAATCTTCTGAGTTTCCGTACATGATACGAGTTTCTTATATGAACGTTTCCTTTCTTCCAGATATTCTAAACATCCAGAAGACGAATGAAAAGAGAAGAGCAAAACAAATGAGGAGAAACGCCTACGAGCCGGATGAGGGCGGGTGTCCCGTCTGAAATCTGGATCACGAGAGGTCAGACGGTCAGGAAAACAAACGAGCCGGAGAAACTGAGCAGAGAAGAGAAAAAGAAGAACGAAGAAATAAATTTTGGGAGCTTGAAAGACAAGAACAAACATAGAGCCCAAAGGGTGCGAAAAACGCCTTGTTGGCAAATCAGAAATTCTGAGACTGTTGACACACACAAATAACCTCCCCATACCCTGTCCCAGCCCCCCCTCCACCCCTCGAGCACTATATAAAAGACACATCAACGAATATCTTACGTTGAAACATTGTCTGAGATTATAGTGCCTTTTGAAACTTTCGTACATTTCTTGATTCATCACTTGTTGTCTGATATATCATATCTTCAGATCAGATATCTATCTTTCCTTGCCCATTATTAGCCATTTGACGCATCTTCTTCTTCTTCATCAATGCATTTCTCAGTATTCGTCACCTTCTTCATCACGACAACGTTAGCTATCCAAGCTAATGCATACAGTTATGCTGATTTGCAAGAGCTTATTGAGAAAACTAACTCAGCTGCATCTGTAACAGCTTCGAGTACCGTCGATTCAGTTGATACTGCAACATCACAGACTACATCTACTGAAGTACCTCCAACACTTATTTCCATCGAATCTACCAGTGTTGTTTCTCCTTCATCGGAAACTCCAGAAACTGGAGAAACCGCTACTACTGAAGAGCCAACAACAACTGAAGCAGACTTGATTACAATTACTGCTGATAAGGAAGAGACGACCACGGAAGAAGTTGTCAGTACCACAGAAGCCGAAGAAGAAACTACAACCACCGAGAAAGCCGGCATTGAAGAAGAAGTAGAGGAAAATGTCACTACGCAAGAGACGAAAGAAAGTAAGTTCTAGACTTCATTTTTTTAACCATACAAGCCTCATGTCAATTTTCCAGACACCGAGACAACAACAGTTTCAACGACTGAAGAGCCACAAACAACGACCGAAGTCATATCTGAAGAGGAAACAACTACAGCAGTTGAAACCACTCCAGAAACTGAGGAAAAACTTATTGAACAGACTGACAAGCCTGAAGTTATAATCGAGGAGACCGAAGCTCCAGAAGTAGAAGAAGTTCCGTCAACAACTATCAAGACAATAGAACTGATCGAAAAGAAAGTTCCAACCGACATGATCTATCCTTCTCCAACTGATTCTGAATTCTCAAGCTTTTTTGGCATCAAACGTCCCGACCTCGCGACCATCTATAGAAGACTATTCCCATTCAAACATGCTACGAACTAGAATACAACTGTTTGTAGGGAATGAACCCTCTTATAGAAGTAGTCTGAATCAGACGACATCTACTGAAGTAGAACATCTCGTTCTACGACATCTACTAGTATGATCCATTAATTTATTTTTCCTATTTATTCGAAATAAATAATTTATTTGATTATCTCTCCCTTTTTTGGTCATCTCTATGTGTCTGCGCATAGAGATTAGAAAGTTCAAAATGTTCAGATTGAAGTTTGTTTTCAACGGAAAGCCAATACACTTCAGGAAACAAAGACCGAAAGAAAGATTTGTCTCGACATTGGTGTTTCCTTTTTTCTTTTACGTTGCTCATAAAGACCATTTCAATACATATTATTACGAGGGAACAGCTTTTGAAGAATCATCGCCACACTGTCTACATAGCCGTTCATATTCTGAGATTCTCTTCGAAACTTTAAACTGTTATTTTCATCAACAGTCGGCTTTTCCTCTGTTTTTCCATCCAACTGTGGTACTCCACCTGTTCCACGAGGATAGAAACGACGAGTTGTACCTTAAGTAATATGTCTTGGATCTATGAGAGTTTACTATCTTACTGTGAGGTGCTTGTTCCACTTCTACAGCTGTGTATGAACGATATGAAGATGTGGACGGAGTGGTCGTTGTGTCAACTGTTGTCTCCACTGTCATTGACGTCGTCGTTGTTGTTGTCGCTTCAGTAGTTGTTGAGGATAGTTTCTCAAGCTTCCGTTTTTCTTCAGGTAGCCCTCTACAAGCTATTTGCATTTCATAAAGATCCAAGTCAGCTCCGTCTCCAGAGCCGAAGCGTGGACACTTTGTCCTTAAAGACGAGAATGAGATGAGTTCAGAAAGATGAGGTCAAAACAAGACAAGGAGAAGAAAGCAAATAGAAAACCTGTAAAGAAGTGATAATTCTTTCTTGACTTCTGCTTTGAAGCCGTCGATCAGCCGTTGTCGTTCCCGTTTCAGCGATTGCAGACGCTCGAATGCTACGCGAGCATCTGGAGACAAACGTTTCACCTCAATAAATTGGAAATTATTTTTTCATTTAATCAAATTTGTAAATAAAACTTTTTCTCGAAATCGCTCAGCTCGTCGCTCTAAAAATAGAATATATTGTTCTAATTGTGTGAGAGCAGTTGAATCTAGAAGATCTTTGCCCCATTCTCGGAGTCGTTGTGATCGCTGTGAGACGGATTGGGTGGCCGTCATTATCGGAAAATAAATGATGAACGATAAGACGATGAAGAGTTCAAAAACCTCAGTGAATGTTCGGATGTGCTCTATAGATAGTCCGTTGATGAAAGGAGTCCGATTGATTGGCTCACTTTGGGCTTCATCCCATTTGATTATCTGAAGTACTCGTCAATTAGAATGAGCTCTCTCTGTCAAGTGAACCTTTTGCTTCAAATCCTCCGGGAAGTCTTCTATCAACTTGATTGTCTGTTGCTTCTGTCTATAAGAATGAATGATCAGTACTTGTCTCATATCATGCTCTTATCACCTTTCACACTTTCCTCGACCCAGAACTATCATTCCTCCCCATATTTTCTTCATTTCCCTCCGATAGTTGAGTGGAAGTACAGCTGTGAACTCTGGTAGACGACATTGAGTTTCCCAACTGCGACTCTCCTAAACACTATATGCTGTTTTTGTCGACAATATAATTCTTGTTTGTCTTTTTATTTCCATTCACTTCGACGCTTCTTCATTAGCATACGTCGAACGTCCACGTGCACGCGCCCGAGCGTCCACGTGTACATCACAAGCACTCATTTGTACTTGAGCAGCGAAGGAGAACGGTTGATGCAGTTCAATATGTTTCATGACTTTTGGTCGAAACGACCTTAGAAACATCAATTCATCGGAAACATGAGGTGGGAACTGTTTGTAAAGGTTGTACAATCAGATATTTGACACATTCGTAAGGATAGAGAGAAGAAGAGATGAAGATAGAGAGAGATGAGAGATAGATGAGAGAGAGAGAGAGAGAGAGAGAGAGAGAGAGAGATGAGAGAGAAAAAGCCATTTTTTCATTAAAAAGTATTATTATGAATTTCTATTTATGTTCATGACTTGACCATAATATGACTAATTCTGTTTACTCAACGTTCAGAATTTGAATAAAAGCATTGTCAAGCATATGTAGATGAATAGACAAAACAGTCTGTTGATCATCTAGTGTATTTGAATAGAGCTTAAGTTCTAAGTTCATCTATCTTCATGTTTCGTAGCCGGTCGTTCAGTCTTTGTGTCTGAAGCCTTTTGATTTCGATTTGTAAAAATGGAGAAGAAAAGAACAGTCTGAGCAATGAAATTAAAGTATTCGCCGATTGGAATGTATGGTGAGAAGGTTTTGAATGTTGGGATGTAGAGGAGAAGAAACTGAATGAAAGGTACGAAAACTAACTTTCGTCTCATCTTCACCAAAGATGTCTGTCTCATCCAGTAGAAAGTCTAGACAGAAGCTTGTATGAAGACAAATGATTAAGATGAAAGCTGAAAGAAGCAATGATAGATGATGAAGAACATCTATATAAGGATGAATATATAAATAAGACAGACTGACCTTTCCACATGCTGGTAGAGTTGTTGAACTGACGAATGGAGATGGTCGTCAAGACAAAGACTAACTCTTATTTACTTTCCATACAAGTCAGATGTTAATCATTTCCGCATATAGTTATGCTAATCTTTATTACAAAATATTTATTCCAATATGTAAACGACGTGAGAAATCACATTTTCAGATGATTTTTGACTATAGTTCTCACAAGTTCTTTGACGATCGTCGTGATTGTTTCTAGATCGCATCCTTCTTCAGGTACTGGGATATGTAAGAATAGAGATTTGGTGATGTCGTGAGTCAACGAAGTGAAATATGAGAAACCACATAGATATCTAGAATTCGGTATCACATACAAGACAACTTCAATTGAGTCATTACCTTCCTGGATCATCTGAAGAGGTGATCAACACGTTTTCAAGTTTCAAACTTTCAGTAACCATTCTAGCAATCCCCTCACAATCAATTGTTGTTTGTAAGCACTCATCCTCATTTCCGTTTCCACATCGATTATTCTTTGGGACTAAGCCTGAAAATTGTATTTTCTTTCCAATGTCTTTTTCCAGCAAGGTTCATCCAAGAAGTAAAGAAAAGAAAAAGAAAATTACGTTTGACATCATAACGACAATAACCATCTCGAAAAGATTGTTTTTCCAATTTAACACAACGTCTCACGTGATGAACTCCAATGTGAATAATCAGCTTTAAAGAAAAAAAATATTTTGTGTACCTCTTCCCAGTCAACCCCCCCCCCTGCTTGCTTCCCTTCATCTCATTTTTTCGGTCAAAAATTACTTACGTCTGGTTGATGCTCAGCCCACAACTTTTTTACAAATTGCTCGACTCCCTCGTATTCCACTTCCATTTTCTCCAATATTAGCGTTCCACTGAAATCTTGAACAATTCTCTACTGTTACAAGTTATTGAGATGGATGATGCTGAATGAAAGTAAGCTCTACTTGGGATTCCATGCTCTTTCAAGTTATCTAGAACATCTGATGATGGGTTACTGGCATAACTGCCGAAAGGGCCGAATCCTGTTATGATCACTTTCGCCATTGATCTAAAAAACTTTTTTTTTTCACATTAAAACGACAACACTTTTCTCCTTTTCAAATTAAATTGAAGAGAAAGAGAGAGAAAGTGACAAAGCTTTCAACATGAAAGAAAGTGATAAAGCTGATGAATGGACGTGATGGAATTTGAAATTAAAAAAGAGCTGCAAGGTTAAGTTGCTAAAGTTCAAACTTAACGAGGCTTATCTATTTGGATCAATTCTATCTGTTCGAGACTATTTGTTTTAGACCTTCAATGTCATCGTTTTCCAATTAAAACTAGTTGTTTATAAATATTTAATACACCAAAATACACAAAAAATCATTTGCTATGACAAGATTGGATGCAAGCTCATGAGGTCATTGACTGAAGAAATCAAAAAAATAAAAAAATAAAACAAACAATTAAAAATTAAATTAAACAGCATAACTGTGATCTAGAGCAAACCACCAGTAATAGAGTCCTACTAGGTTGATTCCGACGGATGTCAGAGCAAAAATTATTAAAAAGATTATTAAGAAGATGCGTTCAACTACTGCTGCCAGCCAGTCGAATTCGAGCTCAGCCAAGTTCCTCTGTTGCGTTCGTGGTGAGAGAACTGAAAGAAAATGAAATTGAATGTGGTTTGTTATCTCTTGGAACGTACCGTCAACATTCCGGAGAACGCTATCGAAGCTTGCACATGAGTTGCTCAGCTTATTCTTAAATAGGTTTGATTAGCAAACGAAAAACTTTTTCTCCTTTACTTTTACCTGGAATTTGGAGACCGGAGGTGGAGGAATATATTCTGGTTCAGTGAATGAAGTATTTTCATCGTCTGAGTTATTTGAAAATTCGAGATGTGTCTCAGCTGAAAATAAAAACAAAATTTGGTTCATGAAATGAACAAGTTGAGGTACCCGGTTGACAGATGGAAACATCCGGACTAATCGTACAAGCTTTTCGGTTTGGAACTTCCAGTTTGTGAAGATCAGGTGAAATTCCGTTTATCTTGGCTGATGATGATGATTGCTGCAACAACGACTGACTCAATGAGGCAACAGTAGGGATGATTTGCAAAACCTTTCGAGCTATAGCTTGTTCTCTTGCAACCTTATATACTCTTTGCCAAAGGCTTTGCTTGCGACCATCTTGAGCTCTCCGCAGCTTTTCTTCCTAATAAAATTAGTTTAAACGGCGTACAATATGGTTTGTTTTCTCTAACTCGAGCTTTCTGAGCATACGCCTGCTTCATAAGCAAAGGCATTTCCATTCGAACCAGTTTGGCGACCCATCGAGCCCACATCATCACTTTTTTGGCTGGTGGTTTACCCAAAATACCTAAAAGCAATCATGAATGTATGATTGGAACAGAATCGTATAAGCAGAAGTATAAGAGATTGAAGCTCAAACCTTGTTTTTGAATATAAATGACCATTGAAGCTGCTAATGTAGAGAAAGAAATAAGTAGAATCATACACGTATAGAACCAACCTACAATACCAAAGACATATAGTTAAGAGAGAGTGTATGTTATAGTATACCAATTAAGGGAATGAAAGATGACGTTGAGGGCATTTTATCAGAAACCATAAAAATCAGAATGGACATGGAGAGTAATGTTGTAATTCCCAGAGTAATCTTTTCTTCTCGTAATTCATTAATGGATGAAGAGCTGAAACCATACCAACATCATCATCATCTATGAGAGAAGAAGCTTACCTGAAGAACCCGACAATTGAAATAAGAGTGATGATAGATGTTGGAGTTATTAAGTTTATTATATAATACAAAGGTTTACGTTGAATTCTCAGATGGAATTCAAGCAGTGTATAGTTATTGGGACAGCAATCATACTTGTTTACATGACGTTCCACTAAACATATGAGTTAATGAGATTTCTAGAAGTTCATTGCCTACCATATGTGGACAACACGTTCCATCCCTCATTCTCAATACAGTTTGAAGTTCCTATGGCATGTGATACATTATGAGGAAAATAATCAATTAGAGTGTTATCGAATGTCCAACTTCCGAATGTCAGCTTACATTCCTTCAAAAAGTTTTTGTAACTTTCATCTCCCTCTATCTCTCTCTATGTGTTTCCTCTCTCTCTCTCTCTCTCTATGTATGTATGAGAGTTTGTCCCTCTCTATTCTACTTTACCAGGTCAAAGTTTTAAAGTTGATGAGTAAGTTGTTGAGAAGTTTTTGTTTCAACCAACCGCACAAATGGATATTTTCCAATTTCCCTCATTGAAAATCAAATGAAATTGCTGAGTTCAATTACATTAAGCTTTAGAGAGAAGCATTGAAAGGGAAGAAGTGAAAGTACACGAAAGAGAAACTCTTTGTTTTATAAATGATCTAATTACCTGCATGTCGAATGGAAAGAATCTGCAAAGAACATGTTCAACATGTGCAAGTAGCTGATGGAACAAACCGTAAGTCAAGTAGACAACTCAATTTGTAAATGGTTGGATATAGAAGTTCTACCAATGCTCCTTTATCTTTGCCGCGGGTTGTCAACTTGGCGTTCATCAATCGTCTTGAATTGGAATCATCCATTACCAATCTATGAGTAGTATGTTATCAATCATATGTTTGTTTATCTATATATACGAGTTATAAAGTGTCGTATCCGGTATCCAGATGCGATCGAACGGAATCATTATTTCTGTTAAATTTGAAAAATCTTCCGGATCCCATCCAAGTAGATTGTCAACCCATCTCTTCAAATCTCTTAATCATTGTTCTTCTAGTCAAATTCAATTACCTCAACTATCCAAGCATTTAACATTAAATATTGTTGAGGCTCATTCTAAAACACATAATACATTACAATCTTATTATCATTTGAATATTCCACGTGTACGTGAGTCACGTGACTTTACGTGAAACATAACGCTTCACCTCATTTTCATTTTCAGTTGACCACTGAGCGGTTGCATTCATCTCCAAATCTCTCACTACTTGCACAGTGTCAACAACTCCCGTCATAATTTTTTTTTTTATTTTGAAAAAAACCGAATCATCGTATTGTAAGATAGTCCCGACTAGGGGGTTTCCTTATAAGGAAAGACTCGCCAAAATACGTTTTTTTGGTCTTCACAAGCAGCATTCTCTTCTTCCGTCATTAAACGAGAAAATCAAAGTGAATAGCAAAAGTAAGTGAAGAAATCGTTTATGAGATTTCAAAATATTTTACTTTCAAACACATGTAAGCATTTCGGATTGTAAAATGGAAAAGAAAAAAAAAGTAAAAAGGCAATAAGTAGGATTGAAGCGGATGTCGATTTTCTACCTCAACTAACCTCAAGTTAATGTTGTGATTGGAAGTGAATGTGAGAACAAAACAAAATCCGAAATCTCTCTCTTTCTCTCTTTAAAATACAATTATACGTTATAAGGAGAGAGAGAGAGAGAGAGAGAGAAATCTGTTTGAATCGCTATAGATAGTGATGTTCTCAGAGGACGTCTCAATGACAATCCCATCTCATCATCCTCTGCACCCTTACACTCCAATCGAAGGAAATTAAAGTTAAAATATAAAATTTCTTTTAAAAAAAGAAAAATGTTTATCACATTAACAATTCACAACTTCAATTTCATTTGAGCAGAAGTAAATGGAAGAGATTTGAGTAAACAGAAGCCATTTTATGTTTCTCTCTTGCACCCAAAATGGCTATGAAACGTTCATTGCATCTCATGCTTCTGCTCTCTCTCTCCATCGTTTCTTCCAAAAAAATCATTCGAAAATATCTTTTTCTTTTCCAAATGAAATCAAAAATCTTCGCTATAGACACATGTTTATGGTTCTATCGTTTTAAATAAACTTTGTGTGTGTGTGTGTGAATGGGCAAGCTTAAAGATGAAGCTTCAAGGAAAAAAGTATTAAAACTTACAACTTGAATGATTTGATAGAGCTCCATTGAGAATGATATACGAATTGATTCATTTCGTAGCTTTTTAGGAATATATCCTCGATCATACTTGGAAAGAATGTAATCAGCTATCACATAGTGTTCCGGAACATCAGGAATATCTTGAGTCTCTGTAACATGTACATACATGTCTCATACTCATATTCACATGCTGCTTAGTTGGAATGGGGAGAAGGTTAGCATTGTGAGTGAAATAGGTGTTGGAAGTTAAAACACGTTTTTGACTTCCAAAAATAGATATTGAAAACTAAGGTGAGGTGAACATAAGAAAGAGTTTAAGATGGATGTTTGAAAAGAGCTTACCGTTGGAAGATGTGGTCTGAACAAGTGTTGAGACGGATTGAATGAAATACAAAGTAGAGATAAGTAATATATAAATTAACATTTAGAACTCTCTCTCATATCTCTTTCGATAACACTTTCTTCTAAATGTGATCATGAGTCTAGCTTTGGCTTAGATGATGATGAGGTTGGTGATGGTGGTGAAGAGAGATGAATGAATGATTTCTATTATCAAAGACGTCTTCTTTCAAGTTTCTGAAGGTATTATGGGTGTGCTGAATTGACAGAGAAAGTCTGATGAGCTGCTAGTCAAGACAGCTGAAGGAGGGACGAAGAACGGAAGTCAACGAGATGGGTGAGGAAAAAGAGACAAATTTAGAGAGCTGAAAGAGATGCAGAAAGCTTTTTAAAGAATAAACTGTCATAGAGAGACAGAGATAGAGAGAGGGAGAGAGGAACGTAGGAAGGGAGAGGAGGAGTAGAATGAGGGAGTTAGGATAGAAGGCGTGAAGCTAGGATATGAGATAAAGAGTGACTAAAGGTGGGAAATCCTTGAGAGAGATTAGACGAGCAGAGAGAGAAAGAGAGAAATAAAAAGAGAGGAAGACATACCTGTTTGATGGAATTGAATAGTTACCACAAGGAAAAATAGTAAAAAACGATAGAAAGTCATGAAATACTGGCCACGCCCACAAAAAAATCTGAAAATATTGTAAATTACGAGAGATAGCATGAGAGAAGGGAGATAAAAAGAGAAAGAGAGGAAGATAGAGAGAGAGAGAACAAGCTGTGAATTGATAAGAACAAATAGATGAAATGGAAGATGTGTTTTGAGATCAAAAAAAAATGGTGAAAAACCTTTTTATGTGACGATGAAGCTATGAATGAATAGTTGCGATATGAGAAGCTGGAGGAGTTGTTGTGAATGAATTGAATGAGTTTTGGAGAGAAGTGTGAGAGATAGCATTAAGTAAGTAAGTGACAGAGAGAGAGAGAGAGATTATAGAGTCGGACTAAACGAAAGAAAGAGAGAGAGAGAGAGGGAGATAGAAAGAGAAAGTAACTCTCACCTTTCTTGATGCAAATATGGAAAACACCGTTATTGTCCATAACATACGGTATGTTGTATATAAGGGCAGCATGCCTCAAGTCATGTTGACCATAGATAGCATCGATTAAGTAAGAACATAATTAGAATTGAATTGAGTCAACAGCATATGAGAAGGGATAATGAATGAGATGTTGTTTGTTTTTATCTTTCATTCTGTGCCGAGGGGAGAGGAGAGAGAGAGAAGAAAAAAAACTTTTTTTTATATTATTATTGCTCATTTGGGGGAAAAGGTCATGCGTTGAGGTTTGGTTGACAAAAATATGTTGGAAAAGACTTTTTGAAATAAATTGAAATAAGAATTGTGAGGAAAATGAGATTATGGGTGAGTTCATATGAGGCGAGTTGCGAGAGAGAGAAGCTGAAGCAGTAGAAAGGAGCAAATGGATTGGTTACATTGGCGAAGGGGCAAAAAAGAAAATTAAATGATGACCCAAAGAGGCTTTTGAGTCATTTCAAGCCGAAAGTTAAAATAATAAAAGAATGTTTCATTCGTTTAAAACCCTCCACATAATCTGACTATTCATTCTGAATGATCAGTTGAATAAAAAAAAAGTAAAGTTCAAAGTTCGACCGACACAAGCACACGCACCACGCACAGAAGAAGCAGTGGATGAGGATGAAGGGCAGGACAGGCAGGTTGCGAACTATGAAGAAGCAAAAAAAATAATGGAGAAAGGTCAGAAAGATGTCAGATTCTTCATAGACACACACAAAAACAATATGTTGAAGCTGGTTGCATGATGATGATGATAAGATGAGCTGATCTTCTTTTTCATTTTCAGTGTCAGACCTGTGATGAGCTGCAAGGTGTAAGATTGAGAGATATTGCTAGATCATCTGTTGAGGACAAATACTTTGAACGAAACAAAAAAATTGATTATAAAACACTTTTTTTCATTTTCATCTTCTCCTTCATCTCCATCAGGTTGGCCGATTGGCTTTTGAGGATCATTGAAATAAAAAAGATTTTTTATCAAAAAATAAATTCTTTCGGCTGCTACTCATGTACGTAGTGAGCAACTGCTCATCTCCAGATGATATCATCCAACATACAATCCTCTTGTAATCAATTAGACTATTGATTAATTTTGATTAATTGAATAAGAAAGATTTTCGTATTTTTCTGAACTTCTATCACACATCTTGTTGAATGAACAGTTGAACATGTTAAAACAACACACGCACACACACACACAGACACACACAACGGTCACCAACTCTTTCCATTCTTCAAAATTGCCTTCAACTCTTCATCTTTGATGGGTTTTATGAGAAAACATCAGAGTCACTTACACTTAACTCATTGTTCCAACCTTGCAAACATCTCAACTTCAATCTCACAGCATTTATTTCTTGCAAAATGACTATTCTGATATATTGTCTGACGGTCACAGACATAGACGTGAATGAGAATACGTGAGAGTCATTTCGAAATATCTGTGCGCACAGAGCGGTTGGTGGCAGATGAGAGCAACAGGCGATAACTTCATTGTTCGAATCAGAGTAGCTCTTCGATGGTTAATACCAAGTTCCTTTTATAATTTTTTGAGAAAACAAACAAGTGGAGAGGAGAGTGGTGACGGAAGAGTGACTGACAGATGTATGAGAAGAGAAAATTCGAATATTAATATGAGAATGATGAAGAACAATCTTCAAACGGTCAGAGGCTATAGAGATGGTGATTTGAAAGAAATTTTTATTTTTTGTTGGCGCCGTTGGAAGAAAAAACATGAATGGCTTATGAAGCATTTGAAAAGTGAATGGAGAAAGAAAATGACAAATCTCTCTTGAGGAGAAAGATTAAAACAATTGAAGGTTTATGAAGAAGTGGCTTCTGAAGACAAAAGGACAAAAATTCAGAACAACCCTAACGCCTGTTCACTGTGACGGCCAGGGAGGGGCTTAGAGAGTTCAAGTGAAGACTCTACTTAAATGGCAGAGATTATCAAAGATAGAGGGAAAGAGAAAGGGAGAGGGAAGGAGAGAGGGAAAGAGAGAGAGAGAGAGATAGAGAGAAAAAGGAAATCAGAAAGAGAAAAGCTTGATGTTGAAGTTTATTTAAACGATAGGGAGTAAGACAATGGGGAAAATGAAAGAGTGCACAGATGCAAGAGAAACGCAATGAAATGGGAGCTCAAAGATTGTCAGCCAGAAGCTAAAGAGTGTAAAGAACCTTATTTTTCTGATAACTTTGAAAGAAAAAGTCATTTTTGATGCTCATCGATTTCGACAATCTCAATGATAACCTCTGTTAAGCTTGTTCGAGCTTGTAGGTCCATTCCTTCAGCCTCACATGTCTCTCACTCTCTCTCTTTCTCTCTCTCTCTGTCTCTCTCTCTTATCCATTACGAGAGAAAGTTGTTTCCAGCATTGAATTCATATGTTCTTCCGACACATTCTTCATTCCTATAGCAATACAGGAAGAGAAATGAGAAAAAAACAGATTTCACGAAAACAAACAATGAAAATAGATTCTTGTGTGTTGCGAATGAAAAATAAATTTCTTTTCTTCCAACAAATTCCTTCCATAAATCTATCGATGAGGAAGAAAACATGCTTTCTCTCTAAGAAGTTAGATATTACAAGGTATAGATGTTCTACAGTCAATTATCTATCTCAATACTCAATTCAAGGATTGATCACTGAGATCTTCTCAGGCACGTTTCCTATCTCTGGATTCAGAGATGCTATAATGCGAATTCACAGATTTGGATTCAGAGCTGCTATAATGCGAATTGTCATGTTTGGCACGATTCATTCTTCAAATCATTCAAAGTTACTTATATGGATGAGAAATCATCGTTGTGTCCATCATTCATCATTACCAATCCATTCCACCCTATTTAAGATTATTATAACTTCTGCCTTGTTTACATCTATTATATGAGCTTAGTGAAGAAGTAGAGGAAGATTTGATTTTCGGTTGCATTCCTGTTGTTCTATGTATTTCACAGTTAGGTATTCGGATTTTGTTTCTAAACTGCGCATGACATATTACTAGTGAACTTACTGAGTGAACTCTTCCCGATGCAATAAATCGTTGGCGGAGATGCTAAGAAAGCTCAACGCTGTTTCTCAGCTATTTATGGATACATTATTATAACGTGAAGAAATGACTTATGTTGAACACTTTCTTGGTTCTGATAGTGAGAGAAGAAGGAAATGAAAACTTCCTTGTGAACTTGCAACTAGTTTCATGTCTTTCTGACGTAATCAATCAACATGAAAATGAAACTTTACTATTCATTATTCACATAAATGTGATGAACCATCATCTTATAACGACCTCGGTAAGTATCAGTTCACGTACGATTGCATGACTTCGGCTTTGAGTCGAGGAACTTCTGTTGTATTTATGAAGGCTGAATTCTGCCAACAATACTAGATTGTTTCTGGAGCTAGTGATGTAAGATGTCCTCAATCACTGATTGAATGTTCTGCTGTTTGAGAATTACAGGTATGAAGCGGCAATAGACTGATCTGACAGTTTCTTTCTCTTTTTTTTTATTTTTTGCTCGCTCCTTTTTTCTATTTACAAAATACTTTTAATTAAGTTATTCCCGGTATCATATACGACCTTAGCACTTGAAAGAAGGTTACCCCTCGTTGTGCATACAGGAGATCAACGTTATCCTCAAAACGGAACAAGACAATACAAATAAGGTATAAATATAAATTGTGGCTTGAATACGTAGAAGTTTTCAATTTTTTCATTTATACAGGTTTCACAATCTTGTTATTTTTTTTTCTTCAATTTTTCAAAATTTTGAACTGCTTGCTTCTCTACAGTGTCCATCTTAGAACCTGAAAATGAAAAACCAAAAAAAAAAAAACAAAAAAAAAAACAAAAACAAAAAAAAAGAAAAGAAATACAAGAGAGTAAAAGGTTTTACGTGAGAGGGGGACGTTCGTTGACCTATACTCACGCCATGTGCTGAGTAAAGGCCCGTTCAAAGCTATGAACCCCAAACATAGCAGTGCCAAGAACAATGTCAGGGCTCCTTAACTTTACTCACGCAGGTGTTGCCACCTAATGATTTTAAAAATCAATTCGAAAATTGTTAGGAGAACTTTATTTCCCGCATTTTCTGGGGAAATGACCTAAAATGGTCTATTTGATCTTCTGTTTTTTTTCAGTAAATCTGTTTTTGTGTTCCTCATTCTTAGTTCATTCATTCCCTCTCATATATGTGTACGACCATACCACGTTGAAAATACGCCATCCCGTCCGATCTGGCAAG